TAACCAACTCTCATATTTACATAAGTCTTCTATATTAGAAAAGAATATTCAGAGGTAGAATATAGAATATTTCACCCAAAAGATGAGGAATACACTTTTACTCTCAGTTACACTTGGAACTTTCTCAAAAATCAAACATATCATAAGATACAAATCACATGTTAACAAATAAAATAACTGCCTATGACTTATCATATAATGGAATATAGCCTGAAATCAGCCACAAAATAAAATACAGAAATGTTTTCTTAAAAAATGTTGGAGACTAGTGTGTGTGTGTGTGTGTGCGTGAAATGACACCCTTTTGATTTTTAATTTTGTTAATTTGTGTTTTCACAGTTTTATATTTTACTGAACAGTGAATCATGCAAGAAACCAGAGAAGGAATTTAAAATTCTTAGACACAAATGCTAAGAAGAACAAAAGCATATCAGACCCTCTGGGACATAGCCCAGGCTTCCCTAAGAAGAAAGTTATAGTGATAAGATCTCCTATTAAAAAAAATCTGAGAGATATTAAATCAACAACCGTATACCTCAAGGCTCTCAAAAAGCAAAAACAATAAAAAACAAAAAACAAGCAGGCAATCCCAATTCCAGAAGATAGTAGTAAATATTAATTAATTGAAAAAATTAATACAAAGAGTTGGTTCTTGGAAAGGGGGGAGTAATATTGAAAAACCTTTAGTCAATCTGACAGGAAGAAAGAGGAAGACACAAATTAACAAAATTAGAAATCAAAAGGTGTCATTACACTTTTGAGAAGGGCCAACCAATGACTGGCCCAACTTGAGGCTCATGCCACAAGAGGGAGCCCATGATTGACAGTCTGGATGACCAGAAACACCAGTCTGGATAGCCCAGAGCCCTAGGATAAAAACAAACGTAACTGGGGGAAAAAAAAAAAGAGGAAAGAAGTGGAAGGGAATGAGAAGGAGGAATAGAAGGAGGAGGGAGAGGAGGAAGAGGAGGAGGAGAGAGAAGGGAGAGGAGAAGCAGAAAGAGAAAGAGAAGACATCAATGAAAAAATTATTAATGATATTCTGCTATAATCATAGCCTAGCATAATCATTATCAGAGAGGTTTCAAGTAGCAATTGATGGAAACAGATGCAGAAACCCACAGCTAAATATGAGTTGGAACTCAGGACTGGATGGACCTATCCAATTGGATTCTATCAAATTTCAAGAAAGGTCTCATACCAATTCTTGTTAACTAGTTAACAAAATAAAGAGAAGGAACACTAGCAAATTCGTCCTCTGAAGCCAATATTATTCTCATCCCAAAATCAGGTAACGGTAGAACAAAGAAAGAAAACTGCAAGACACGTTCTTTGATGAACATAAATATAAATTTTCTCAACAAAATACTTGAAAAACAAATCCAGGAACACATTAAAACTATGTGACCAAGTGGGATTCATCAAAGAAAAGTCAACATTGTTCTAACATATGTATATCAAAAAAAACATAATACACCATATAAGGAAACATAAGGAGAGAAGTCACATAATTACCTTAATCCAGAAAAGACACTGGACAAGTTCAATATGCCTTCTTGATAAAGATTTTAAGGGCTGGAGGCAGCCCAATACCATACCTCAAATTTTACGACAAATTATAATACAAAGATAGGTGATAAGACAGCCTGGCATTAAATCAGAGAGGTAGACCAATACAATATAATAGAGGAACTAAAAAAATCAACCTATAAAGCTTTGCCCACCAAATTATTAACCAACAAGACAAAATACCCTCTAGGGAAAAGACAGCCTATTAAATAAATGGTGCTGAAAAAAACTGGTTATTACCTGTAGACGAGTAAATTGAGTTCATAACTTTCATCTTGTACAAAAATAAAACTGAAATATGTCAAAGATCCTTATGCATAATAATGAGAATTAAAGAAAAAGAGACAATAAATTTGAGAGGAAGTGAAAAGGAAAGAGAGAAATTAGAGGGAGAGGAGAAGTGGGAAAATAAGGTAAATATATTTTAATTTTTGATAATTGTGAGAAGTACATTGGATAATCAATGACTGTCTCAGCAGAACATCAATAGCACAGCAACTAGCCCCAAGCATCAACAGATGTAAAACAGGTTTCTACACAGCAAGGGAAACTATCATCAGAGTACATAGATAGCCCACAGAATGGGAAACAATCTTTGCCAGCTACACTTCACAAGATAAATACCCACACTTCAAAGAATTGCAGAAATTAAACACTGAGGAAATAAAACTACTGCCAATAAATAGCTTAGAAGAGTTTGCTTGCTTGTTTGTTTGTTTGTTTGAAGAAAGAAACAGAAATAGCCAATAGCTATTTTTTTAAGAATAGATTCTGTTTCTTTAATCCATTCTGTCAGTCTGTGTTTTTCTTTTTATTGGTAAATTGAGTCCACTGACATTGAGAAATATCAATGACTAATGTTTGCTGATTCCTGTTATTTCAGTCGTGGTGGTGACGGAGGCAGGGAAGATGGTAGTGGTAGTTGTGTGTGTGTGTCTTTCTCGTCTTTTGATTTTGCTAGTGTGAGATTATTTACTTCATGTGTTTTCATTAGGTTAGAATTTTCCTTCTAGTACCTTTAGTAGGATTTATAGACAGATATTGTTTAAACTTGGCTTTATCATGAAATTTCTTAATTTCTCCATATATGTTGATTGAAAGTTTTGCTGAATATAGTAGTCTGGAGTGACTTCTGTGTTCTCTTAGAATAGTGAGTCTCAACCTGTCAGACTCTTTTGTGGGTCACATATCAGATATCCTGCATATCAGATATTTATATTATTATTCTTAACAGTAGCAAAACTTAAAAATTAAAATTATGAAGTAGCAACTAAATAATTTTATGGCTAGGGATAACCACAACATGAGGAGTCTGTCTTAGAGTCAGCTACACATCTGTTCAGGCTTTTAGAGTCTCCACTGAGAAGTCAGATGTAATTCTAATAGGTCTGCCTTTATATGTTACTTGATCTTTTCCCCTTGCAGCTATTAATATTCTTTCTTTGTTTTATATATTTAGTGTTTTGAATATTGTCGTGAGGGTACTTTCTCTAGTCCAATCTTTGTGGTGGTCTATACACTTCTTGTACCGTTTATAAGCACCACCTTCTTTAGGTTAGGAAATTTTTCTTCTATGAAAGATCCAAAGTCCAAAAATCTACATTCTTTCAAACAGAAGGATGGTCAGGCTATCATAGCAATACCTCAGTCGCTAGTACCAACTTCTGTCTTAGTTAAGGTTTTACTGCTGTGAACAGACACCATGACCAAAACAAGTCTTATAAAGAACAACATTTAATTGGGGCTGGCTTACAAGTTCAGAAGTTCAGTCCATTATCATCAAGGAGGGAGTATGGCAGCATCTAGACAGGCATGGTGCAGGAGGAGCTGAGAATTCTACATCTTCATCTGAAGCCTGCTACTGCAAGACTAGGTTCCAGACAGCTAGGGTAAGAGTCTTAAGCCCATGCCCACAGTGACACACTTATTCCAACAAGGCCACACCTCCAAATAGTGCCTCTCCCTCGGCCAAGTGTATACAAACCATCAAAATAACCACATACTTTGTGTCTTATAGTACTAGAAGAAAGGATAGCAAATGTTTCATCATGGAGAATAAATGACATGTTGGGTGTTTGATATAATTTAAATGTTACCCATGTATGCATATGTCCAACCATCACACAGTGTTTCATTGCTGTCTGTAATTTGTTTTTAATGTCAAAAGGCAATTTCTAATGATTGCAAGAATGTGTAATAAATCCTGTAGACATCGTAGCTAAAGACAACGTCAACTGTCCACAGACTGTCTACATGTCAACATTAACGAGGTGTGCAGAGAACCACAGACAGATATCATAAAATTGTATAAAGAATGGGACGTCAACTCCCCAAATCAATACAAGTTCGTTCTTCAAAAGAATCTCCTACCCTTTAAAAAACAGTGGTGCCGTGTTTGCTCTGTTTAAAGTTCCTCTGTAATATCAAATATTGGTCAAAAGTGAAGCCTCCCCCCTCACTGAAAGCACTGAAAATGATGGGTGGGAAGATGCTTGATGGTTAAAGTGCTCTCTGTGTAAGCATACAGACTTGATTTCAGAGCCCAAGCTCATCTTGAAACCTGGGTATAATGATCAACCTGCCTGGGAGGTGAAGCCAGGAGGATCCTCGGGGCTTGCTGATCAGTAAACCTACTTGAAAAGAGGCTGGCCTACCTTACTGAGAGACCCTGCTTCAAAGGATAAGGTGGAGAGCATAAAGAAAGCCAAGCTTTACTACGGAGTTTTCCTCATTTTAATCAAAGATAGGCACTTTAGAGGACAAATGGATTTATCTACTGGACGTGTTATATAGGCTAATATATTTACATGGGAAAGAAGTAAAATATTCTTTACTAAGTACAATCAGGCTTCTGATTTCCCCACTGATTAAGATGGAAAAATGGTGTGTGTAAATAAACAACAGCAGCAGTTATCTTGTCTAAGAAGTACAATGCAATTGCCTTCCCCCGTTTTACTCCCAGCAATGGTCATTCCTTTGTCTGAGTAAAATAATAATAAATAATAATAATATGCTCTAGAACACATGAGCTCCACGGCGTTTTTCAATAAAATAGATTCATTTTGGAAAAACAAAACTCAAACTGATGCAGTAGTGTGGATCAAGTTTCTCTAAAACAGACTTCTTTCTTGGCTCAAGTAAAAGCCCCATTTACTATTCGAAGTGGATTAGTTACGGTTTGTAATACTCCGACAAAAGAAATGAATCTCGTCCTCCCAGTAAGGCCGGAAGATCATTTGATGGTTGCTGGATAGAAACAGGAATCTTGCAAAAAGAAGGATTACAGAGTCACCTTTAGCTGGGCTTTCTAGCACTTTGTAAAGCCGCTTCCCGCAGGCCACGCCCAACTGAGGGCGGAGAGCTACGCAGTTGCGTTTGTCTTCGCGAGTTTCCTCGACGCAGGCCTCTTGGCCCTCTGAGCGGCCCGTCCCTGGGTGCCTGCGGCCGGCTAAAGGCTGACGTGTCTGCCGTTTCCAGGTGTCGAGAGGAGCAGTGATGGCGGATGCCTGGGAGGAGATCCGGCGGCTGGCGGCTGACTTCCAGCGAGCGCAGTTTGCAGAGTCCACGCAAAGGTGCTGGTTCCCTGCGGTGTGGAGCCGGCTTAGGCCCGGGACGCTCCCTCGTTCCCACACTGCCTGCCGGGTCTCGGTGGGAACCCGGAGCCCGTCTGCCGCAGCTGTCGGTAGAGGCGCTCGCTGCCCGGCCTAGAGCGAGCTAGCAGAGACCCCAGTGCTGCGCGCAGCAAGTAGTCTGCCCCTCCTCTAAATCCTTTATACCTGCGGCCTCTGTTCTAAGCCAGACCCACACGCCATCTGTCATTTTTAGGGACTCCTGGACATTGAGTTTTCTACACACCAGGAACCTTTTGCGGGAGTGGCCAAAATACCCCGACTCTGCGTCCGTGATTACAGATCCCGTACATGAGGCCAATAGACTTTTTCTCCCTGTAAACGAGTTCTTGTAGTATTTATTTCTCCTGGACCTAAAAACACTAGTCCGTTGATGCTGCTCTATAACATGGAGAGCTACAGACATACATACACTCTCACAACAAACAAACAACAACAAAACCCAAGAAAACAAAGTCTAGTGCAAGATAACTGAGTAGCTAACAGTAATAACTATAGTTTTGCTAAGTCAGATGTCCTGTGTGTACACCAACTGTACCAGCAAGGCCAGCATACTGTGATTTTTAAGAAAAGTTTGTTTTCAGCTGAAAATTTTGATATTTGAAGGCAGAACTTGAAGAGATCATCTTTAGAACCATAATACAGTGACTTGTGTGAATTAAGTAAATAATTCAAGGGACTATAAACTTGCTTTCCCTCTCCAGTTTTCTTTTTAAATTACTCAACCATACCATTATACTAATAAAGGATAGATTTTTGTAATGTAGAAGTTACTCAAAATTTTGCTTTCAAATACTTTTTTGTGAAACGTATCAAGTACCCTCTTAAACTTCTGACTTCTCACAGGTTGTCAGAGCGGAACTGCATTGAGATTGTGAATAAATTGATCTCTCAGAAACAGCTGGAAGTAGTCCATACACTTGATGGCAAGGAATATATCACTCCAGCCCAGATCAGTAAAGAAATGAGAGATGAGCTTCATGTCCGAGGTGGTAAGTAATTCGTCAGTGTTCTGCCTTTGTCTTCACCAGATGTTTGACGGAAACACATTAAAATCATATGTAAATAGTTACGTGGAGATTATAGGTCATTCTCCTCAATTGCTCTGTTTTCTTTCCCATTCGTGTTGGGCATCATACCCAGGGCACATACTAGGCAAATACTCCCACTGAGCTGTAACCCTTCTTAACCGATAACTTGATAATAAGCCTTCATAGGATCATTCAGTCAACCTTTGTATGTTCATATGAACATAATCTTACAGGTTCATGCAAACATGATCTTAACTATTGCCACTTAACAAATACCATGTTTTTGTTGTATTGAATTAAATGTACTACATATATAGGGGATATATATATATATATATATAAAACTTCGTGACCCAGGGGTGATTACCTAGCTGCCAGTGATCAGGAACTTAATTATAAGGGAGGAATAAAGATTTCATACGATTTTAAAATCTCCCTTATTAAAGCTGGATTATTAATTAAAAACAAAACAAAAACCCGTAAATTGATGTTCTATGGCCTGAGGCTGACGCATCATATTATGAAGTGCAGTTAGCACCATCAAATATAAAATAGTTTTGCCTTATATTTTTGAAATTTGAGCAATGCGTTAAGCAGATTGAGTGCAGTTTGATTTAAACAGAAACAGCTTGTTACTAGATACAACTTGGGTATAGCCTTAGTGTTTTGTTTCTTTCTGAAGTAGTGCTAATAAAATGTGAGTTGTGATTTGCAATATTTGCAATATTTAACAGATTCTCTTGTGCTGATAGACATGCTTTTCAAGTTCATCTTAATTTAGTTGTAGTATTTCCTTTGGTCATTTTAGCTAAACTGACTTGTGAGAATTGAATTCCTCCCATAGGTTTCTCCACATTGTGTCCATGGATGTTCATAATGTGTCTGATGTGATAAAAAAAACACCTTTGAAAACAGTGTTGCCTGTGGCTTTAACCATGTAGACTGGTCGGCTAGTAATCCGCATCTAAATCCATCAGTTATTGAGATCCTATACCCTTTGTAGGACTTAAAATAATCAACACTATCTGTTAGATTTGAAGCTGTTGGGCTGCACTTTCATGTAATTTAAATTCTCTCTTTTGTTCAAAGGTCGAGTAAATATTGTCGACTTACAACAGGTAAATTTGTAAAACTTTTGCTTTGATTTCTTAAAGCTTTCTTAATTTATAAATACTATGAATTTGTTGAGTACCTTTATACATGTCTTAGTTAGGGTTTCCATTGCTGAGAAGAGACACCATGACCAAGGCAACTCTTATAAGGGTCAGTGTTTAATTGGAGCTGGTTTACAGGTTCAGAAGCTCAGGCACAGTCCACTATCATCATGGTGGGAGGCATGGCACTGCCCAGGCAGGCATGGTACTAGAGGAGCTGAGAGTTCTACATCTTTGATCTGAAGGCAAACAGGAAAAGACACACACACACACACACACACACACACACACACACACACACTCACACAGATTGTTTTACTCTGTGGCCCTGTCCCTCCTGGTCTAGAGCTAGCTGTGACCTTGAAGTTATAGTTGTTCTTTTGCATGTTGGGATTATAGATGTTTGCCATGATACTCAGCTACTGATATTTTAAAGCAATTTCAAATTTATCTAAAGGATGTATAAATAATATATATTATATATATAAAAGTATACTTTTTAATATATATAAAAGTGTACTTTTTAATCTCAATGTGTGATCTCAGATTTCAAAACTAGCGGAAACTTTTTATAATTTCTGTGTAATTCTAGGTTATCAATGTGGACCTGACTCATATTGAAAATAGAGTCAGTGACATTATTAAGTCAGAGAAGCATGTGCAAATAGTACTGGGACAGCTGATAGATGAGTAAGTATTTTGAGGTGCTTTCTTTCCTTCTTTCAGATAGTTTAGGCCAGACATGGCCAGCTAGGCTTTTTGTTCAGAGATCATGTAATGGAGACATTCATTATAAAAACCATTCTATTTTAAAAGTAAGTACTAATTATGGGGAATACGTATTCATAAGCAATATAAATTTTGATCTTTTTCCTATTAAAGCAATAAAAATTTAACCTTTTATTTATTGTGAACTAATTAAACTCAAAGCAACTATGTTCTAAAAGTAATGTGAAATGACTATAAAATTTCTATTGGCAAAAGAAAAACCTGCTGTTTGGTTGACCTTACATTTAATTATATCCATAAGCAAAAACTAAGGTTAGAATCTACTCCAGGAGCAATGCTCACTCAAATCCATTACATGGGCGCCTATGATACTACAGCAGAAAAGCGTGAAAGGGGAAGATTCAGAAGGAGAACATGTTTAATTTAAAAACAAACAAAAAACAAAGCTTTTTTTCCCCCAATATTAGGAACTATCTGGATCGGTTATCAGAAGAGGTGAATGATAAATTGCAAGAAAGTGGTCAAGTAACTGTCTCAGAACTATGTAAAACCTATGACCTTCCTGGGGATTTTCTGACACAGGTACTGTTTTTTCTTAATAATGTAAAGAATTTTAAAGAATCTGAGTAGGAGTCAGCATCAGGTTGTTTTGTGTAAGGTCCAAGTGGATATGACTCAGAGCCATGGGTTTTGGGGGTATAACCTATTTGATGGCTCTGAAGAGACTGTTCAAAATGCTGACAGTTATCCCAAGCCCCAGGCTACCAGATTCCTACAAAGAGGGTAAGTTCTAAGACTGTCTTGATGCCACGGAAGCTCAAGTGCCACGAGTGTGTGGATTTGCTTAGTACTTATGATATCTGCTGTTTGTAACCTAGCCAGGATATATACAACAATGGTATAACTGATAAGTATAGGAACGTAGAGGGTGTAAAGATTAGGGATGCTGCTCAATGTTTTGCAATGTAAACACCTTCAGCAAAGAGTTTTCTTATCAAAGTGTCAGTAGTACCATTTTTTGCTGCCATATTTTTCCTCATCTGAGCTGTGGCTATGTCACGAGAACAAAGAATCCCACATATTCTCTCACTTAGGAATTTATCCTGATACTAAATTCCGATATCATGACTGTAGTGTAATAACAGTGTTACCTGAAAACTGAAGCTATATGTCGTCTGTGTTTTTAAAGTAGTTTTTTATTTCGCAGTCATAGATATTCATGTGTAGTGGGAAACCTATAGGCTTTAGTGTCACACACACCTGGATTTGAATCCTATCAATGTGACTTCCTAGTTACCTGACATTAAGAAAGGTGTTTCATCTGTATGTTGTTTCCAGTGCTATATTTTCTGAGAAGGAATAACTATTGCATAAGCATCAACGGGATACCTAATGAAATGTTAGCCCAAGGGCAGCACTCTAGGAGAAGTAGTTGGTTTTTAAAACAGCCAAATCTCATTCTAACTACTGTCTTAGTTATTATTCTATTGCTGTGAATAGACCCCATGACCAAAGCAACTCTTATAAAAGAAAAGCATTTAGTTGGGGGCTTACTTACAGTTTCAGAGAATTAGTCCATTGTCATCACGGCAGCAGGCAGGCAGGCAGGCATGGGACTGAGAGCTTTCTTGATTATCCACAGGTAGGCAGTCAAAGAGAGAGAGACATTGGCTTGGCTTGGGCTTTTGAAATCTCAAAGCCTACCCAGAGTAACATACCTCCTCCAACAAGGCCATACATCTTGATTCTTCCCAAACAGTCCTTTAACGGGGACCAAGCATTCAAACACAGGAGCCTGTGGGGGGCCGTTCTCATTCAAACAACCACAACTATCTTTCACCTTAAGGAAATCTAACTTTAGAAAGATACCAAACCATAATTACATGAGACCAATGTGTAGTATAGATTTATTCATTCACCTATATTAATAGAATTAGCTTTCTTGGTGGTATTTAAAACACAATTTAGAAAATATAAATGTCTTATAAAGCATTTAAGGATTTAAATCGTATTTAACCTGAGTAACTATAAGTCATAGAAAGTCAAGCTTAAAAAAAAATAAGGCTTATACCAAATGATTTCTTCTGTAAGATACTTAAGGGTTACTAGTTCTAGTTTCTGAATATCACAAATGTGTTCCTCAAAGCTTATTACATTTTTCTTTGTTGTAAATCTATCAAACCAACTTGAATACATCTGCTTTGAGTCAGGGAGGGGACCATGAAATGTGTTCAGACCTATTTCACATGCACTTTTTCAGATGTCATATAGCTGAGAAGAAAGAAATACTATCTCAAATTTGAAAGCCAGATAATCTAAACCAGCTTAAAGGGGGAAAAATCTTGTTACTCTTAGAGAATATCATTTTTCAGGACTTGTTTCCCTAAGTTGCAAAATCGTGGAATAACATTTATTCCTATAGTATCTAAAGGTTCAAATAGAATCCTTTCTAAGACTAATCAATCATTTTCATTTTCCTTTAGAAATACATTTTATAAGCAAGGGGCTATTATTGTGGTTAAACCTTTATGAATTAGCTAATAATAATTATTATTATAGCTAATCCTTTAATAATTTGGTATGTTTCTTGACTCTGCTCTGAGACAGTGAAGCTTTCTGGATCATTTTAGTTTAGTTTCCATATAATTTGTGCAGTTGAAATTTGTCACAACACATAGCATGAGTTGAGTAGGATTATACAAATGCACATTTTAATTTTGTTGTTTCAAATTAATAACAGATGACCTCTTATTCCCAGGCATTAACTCAGCGACTTGGCCGGATTATCAATGGCCATCTTGACCTTGATAACAAAGGAGTGATTTTCACTGAGGCCTTTGTGGCTCGCCATAAAGCACGCATCCGTGGACTCTTCAGTGCTATTACCCGGTAAACCTTTCCAAGTGTATATAGAAACTTACACACTTATTTGACACGATTTGCGTTTTTTCCTAGCAGCTGAATCTTTTTGAAGCAAAGTCTTTTTGAGCATCCCAGTTAATTAAACAGGTAGAAGGAGAGCTTCTCTGGAATGGGACTATAAAGCCTCCAGAGTTCCAAACCTCAGCCTGTGTCCACACATTACCCTCCTTTCCCTGTTGCTACAGCTTTTGTCCTGTTCAGAAAGCAGTTTAAAATCTGATGCTGACATCACTACATACAAATCACCCTGAGATCATGGAAAGGCCATGTAGCTATTAAAATAAAAGTTTGAGTCCACTGTTATGTTACACAGTAGCCATGTGATGTGGGGCAGATAAGGCAAAAGCCTAGCTTACTTGGAGTTTAGATGGCACTGGTTTTAGGATTCTTTGTACTGAGAGTCCATAGTGTTAAGGAATAGCAGCATTACATTAGACAAGGACATTTCAAAACTAAGTCTGTAGCCTGTTTAGATTTATTTAAATATAGAATTCAGAAAGCCTACATTTTTAATTATCTCCTCACCTTCGCATTAGATTCTGTCGAGTGGCTTTGTGTTCTATCAGAGTTTGAGATGTCCAGTTTTTCATTTCAAACAACTCTCTGGATGTCATATTCCACTCCATTTAGTATCTGTGCATTTTTTTAAGACCGGTGTCTACATTCACTGTTCGTTTTCTTACCCTATATCCCTTCTCAAGCCACTAGTCTGCTTTCTACCGCTTACAGTGTCAGTATCACTGATCTAATGTCTATTATCTATTCTTGTTGTACTTGTCTTTCCGTCAGTGTTTAACTGCACGCACTTCTTTTAGATAGGGAAGTTGTAGTCATTTAACAGCAGGGTGCATTTATTGAATACTGAACACATACAGCACAAGAGGAGAACTGAATGGTTTGGAGAGGAAACTTATAGTCTAGTGGAACAAATTTCTTTCCTTTTTTGTTCTTAAATAATTTGGAATTTGTAGATTAGAGAGTTTTTCTCTGACCAGTATCGAAATTGCTCAAATTTTACCACAAGTAATTTCATCTGTTTCCCACAGAAAGAGCATTATCCTATACAATATAATATAGAACTCATGGTCAGAAAATTGACATTGATACATACACTCATCTAGTCTTTGGATCCACTCTGATATGCAGATTGCTTCAGCACTGCCCTTTCTAGCCGCTTCAGGTTCAGTTCAGAATCATGTATTTCATTGATTGGTTACAAGGTTTTGATCACCTTTAGTCTGGAACACTTGTTTAGTCTTTCTCTGACTTTCTTAATATCAATATTTTAAAGGTCACAGATCAGGTATTCTTTAAAATGTTAACTTCTCTTGTCTGCTCTCTGCTTGATGGTGCATGTGAGTGTCAATGTTTACATTGGCCATTATTGGCAGGAATACACAGAAGGGATACTTTATTCTTCTAATTAAATCTTAGCAGATAATATACAATTAGATTTTTTCAATTACTGATGAATATGTTATATTTACTTAACAGATATATCTGATAAAATTCTTATAAAGCTGGTTGCTTTCCTTTGGAAAAAAAAAACGACAAATAGTCATGTGCAGGGATGAAACTTTAGGACCATGTGTCCCATTTGGTCTGAGACTTACAGTTTGTTTGTTTATTTGTTTTTTATCATTGGGGACTTAGTTTTTCCTAAATTTGTTATTTGGCTTTAGGTTGTTATAAATTACATTTTCAGATCACCATTAGTTTTACTGGAAGATGGCTCTCAGGCTGGCTTTGACCTTCTGACCCCGTCATTCCTCTGTTCCAGATACAACAAAATGTTTAGGTTCAGTTCATAGTTCCCTGTCTAGCCATTTCTCCAAGCTGCCTGATTCCTCTTTTGAAGCACATCTGGGTACTTTGATGCTTCTCACACTATTTGATTCTACTTTTGGTAAAGAAGGAGAGGATGCACTGACACAGATATGTGCATATTATATGTATTTAATTGTAAACATATATAGCAAAACCATGTATTGAAACTGATAGTTCCAATTCAAACAAATACTAAGCTTCACTTCACTCTTACATTCTTTTTCTTTGTTTTTTCTCATTTCCTGTATTTTTAGTTCTCTTCTTCAACCATGGGAGACTGAGCATTTATTGCCATAACATGTTTATTTATCTCATTAACTCCCATTATGTACCTAACTGGTTGCTGCTATAGTTTCTCCCATGTACTCTCTCCTCCTTGGCTTCTCACCACCCACATGCAGTCTCCCTCCAAACACAAGGAAGTGTTGGTTTTTAGGGGGAGCAGAACTGGGAAGTTGAGTGGTAGAGATAGAGAGGGACAGGTTTGAAACTTTTGTGCTCTTTGAATTTCTCATTTAGTCAAAAACTAAAACTACTTTTCTGTTAACATAGTTGCCCTTTTTATTTTGTTGATTACTATAGCAAGTGTAAATTTTATCATGATCAGAGTTTTGTTTTCTCTCATAGTAGCCCTGTGCTGCTATGTAGAGATACTGTCAAATTACAGAGTAAAGCTTATTCTGAACTGAAAAGATATTGCTGAGATCAGTGGCTTCCAGATAGTGCATTCAGTTGACTCTATGTGTATGATAGCTGGAAACAAAGCAACCACCTTCCTCTTCTGGTCTGAAGCCATGTGCATCCACAAGGTTATATGGGCAGCTGTTACATGTACCTAAAGGATCAGGAAGTAAATACTAAGATAAGTGGGACATGCAGGTACATCAGACCTCGTTCTGTTCCCAACTGAAATAAAAATTCACCAAACAAAAATCTTAGAAATTTAGTACATTTGTTGAATACGCACAATTAGTAATACCTCAGAGTTCCAAGGTGGAGTCTTTTATGGTGGAGTCCTTTAAGGTGGAGTCCTTTAAGGTAGTGTATTATGTTTTCTTAGCAGGAGGAGAAAATATCCACAGAATAACATGTAAAAAGATTGTGATAATTACTGTAAGATATACAGAGATGACACAATTCACAGCATACTGGGACCTAATTCAAACAATTTAATAAAGCAAACAGATCTACATGAAATTTTGTTAAATAATTTATGCAAAATTCTCGAAACACAGGAGCTTTAAGTATTCATGTTTTTAAAATAAGTGTTTCTATTCTTACCTAGTTTCTTAAATGATTTAAAAGAAAATAAAGTTGTGGCATTGTAAATAATCAGTAAGGCATTAAAAAGTTAGAATTAGTTAAAGGACCTTGAATATGCATAAAAATAGAAGCTAATTAAAGAACAGGAATAATGGCTTAAAGTAAATAGAAACAGAACGTTACTTTAAAAACTATAGGCAGTGAGAAGTAAATGCAGGCCTATGGAGATGGCTCTGGGGAGGAAGTGCATTCTGTGCAACCATGTGGACCTGAGTGGAGCCTCAGCAGGCTTTTTAAAGCAAAGCATGGAGGGACAAGTGTGTGACCCAAGTACTGTAGGGTGGAGACAGACAGATCCTGAGAGCTCTCTAGCTAAACAGGAAGCTCCAAGATGAGTGAGAAACTCTGTCTGAAAAAGTAAAGTGGAGAGACAGAGGAAGATATCCAAAGTTGTCCTTCTGGACTCCACGGGCTCACACATAGGCTGACATGCCTGAAGACACATACATACATACAGACACACACAGTGAAACAAAGAAATAGACTCGGGAATATGTCAGCTAGCTAAAAGAATATATTTAGCTGGAGATATAAGTTAGTGATAGTCACTTATATGTCCTAGATAGTCACCTATACATGCATAGGCCTGGGGATGAATTCATAGCACGCTGTTATTTCACGATCACAGTCAGATGCAATGTCCACACAAAGACATGAATACGTGATATTCATTAAATCCATTCATCATGCCTCAAACTATTATGACAAACACTATAAAAATTAACTAATGAAAATAAAAACAACATGTGGAATATCTGTGTAATAGAGTGCTGTTCAGAACTGAACCACTTCATGCATGCTTCATTATTGATGAACATCCTGTAACATAATACTAAGTGAAAGAAGACAGAAACACAAGACTTCTTATTGATTCAACATATTGAATGTCTAGAAGGGCAAATTTACAGACTCAGAAAACAGATGACTCTTGTTCAGAGTGGCAGCATTGGCTGACTGCAAACTCTACTGGAAATTGTAAAACTGGATTGGTGCGATGCTTATACAAGTTTGCAAATTTATTAAGACCATTGACTTACATACTTGAAATTGAGTAGATGTTAGTTATATGTGGGTTATATCCTATTAAAATAGTTTAGAAAATGTTACAGAAAATATACATAAGTAAAAAAGAGCATTTGTAAATTGATTTCTCTCAGTCAAACAGTTTTGACTAGAAATATCTCATTCCAAATACATTTAAGTACACATGTCATCACACTTTCTTCAAAAACAAAATCCTGTATCACTCACTTGAATATTTCTAAGTGAGGAGAGGAAAAGCAGCATATGGAAAATTACATATACCCAGCCTGCACACGTCTGTGAGTTCTGTATCATTCTTGGATGCAGCCATGTACCAAAAATATTTGGGAAGAAAATTATGTATGCACTAAACATGTTCAAGTGACACCTTGCATTAGAAAATCGGAAAATCTAGAAAAGGTAAGTGTACAGGGTATAGGGATTTTACATGAGAGACGTGAACATCCTTGGATTTCACAGTGCTGCCTAGTGAAGGGCAGAAAGGAAACACCTGGTGGATTCATAATAGAAATTGATCTGGATTGTCTTTATTCACAACCCAGATCTTACTTTCTGAGTAGCACAACCCTGATCAGGTGTCTAAAATTTGGCATAACTTTGCTGTCGTTTTTTTTCCTTTAAATAAATTGGTGGTTTTCCTTTAATAAATGCCAGTTCTTATTTATTTTAATCATATACAATTGTATATTAAATTAGTTTCAATTTTTTTCTTTTAATTTCCCATAAAGGCCTACAGCAGTGAACTCTTTGGTTTCAAAATATGGATTTCAGGAACAGCTCCTTTACTGTAAGTTTTGTTTAAATTTGTATTACTTTGGTTGTGGGTGTAGTTCAGTAATCGAGTGTGTTCTGAAAATTTACAAGTACCTGGCTTTCTTCCCCAGGGGTGAGAGAGAGAAGGGTTATATTTATTTTGTTTTTTGAAGACAAAAAATAGGAGTGGTGAAGAAAAGTGAGAGCTAGAAGTGGGGATCAGAGGAAGAGAGGTGGTTTGATTCAGTTTTGTTTTGTCGTTTACATGATTTTGGAAATACCCATCTGAGATTGGGTGGACTCATTTCCTTGGATCTCAGGAGGGGATTGCTGGGTGGTAGTGGTGAGGATCCTTTGGTGAATAAAACTATGCCGGGAAAACAGAGAAGAGAAGAATCTGGGGTCACACAGCTCTCTTCAAGGGCATACATTTAATGCCCAAGGATTTCCCAGTAGGTTCTACCTCCTACAAGCTCCATCAGCATTCAGTAGCACCACTCTGGGAACACGAAGATACTCAGCATCCAAAGTACAGCACTGCTTTATAGACTATTAGTGAAACAAAGTCATCTCTTTCTTTCTCTTTTATTATGCCTTATTTGAGTATAATATAACTATGTAGTTTCTCCCTTCCCTTTCTGCCCTTAAACTTCCCATATATGCCTCCATGCTCTCTTGTAAATTCATGGCATCTTTATTAATTGTTGTTGTTTGGTGATGGTGGTAGCGGTGGTGAGGGGTGTGTGTGTGTGTGTGTGTGTGTGTGTGTGTGTGTGTGTGTATTATTGGATAACTAATTGTGATGCTATTCCCTGGGAAAGACTTTCTCCTGCTCTAAGCATTTCTTAGTTGCCTGTGTTAAGGCTGAAGCCTTCTTCTATCCACATTAGCATGCCTATTGTTGTGGGTATCTGTTGGTAGGATTTGACATTCCTAGGAGACTCAGTTTCACAGTAAATTCCCTGTTCCTCTGGCTCTTCCTACCCGCTCTTCCAAATGGTCCCTGAGCGTTGGGTACAAGAGTTATGTTATAGATATCCATTGTGTCCGGGCTCCACGGCTCTACTTTTTGATTGGTTGGGGTTTTCTATAATGGTCCCAGTGTGTTACAGAAAGAAATTTTCTTGATGAGGGGTTAGAACCACACTGTGGACCAAAGGACAAATATTCAGAGTGTAGCTTGGTATTATGCTGGTTTTAGTAAAGTGATGATTGTTGGTTTTCTCCAAAATCTAAGATGTCATTAGCCCCGGGCACCATAACCATACAAGACATGAATTCCCTCTTGTTGAGCATGTTTAAGGTCCAATTAGTTTTCCAATCGACTTTAGAATTATAACAATGGTAAAGGTGATAATGAAATATGTAGCTAATATTTATTGAATGCTTATGATATACCAGCTGATGGTAGCACTTTACTTAAACACAATAAATACCTATGGCATAGATATTGTTATCCCCATTTCACAGATAAGAAAATAAAGGCATGAAGGAAGTTATTTGCCCAGTATTTTATAATTAGTAGGTAGCAGAGTTGAGGTTTGTCCTTGAGCACTGGAGCCACAGTACCCGCCCTCTGAGCTGTGGCATTTCTTTCTGCTTTAAGAATAGTTGGTGTGTTGCTTCATGTCAATCAGAAATGTTCTAGCAAAGGAAAGTGGTCCATGACTTGACTTTCCGCTGCTAAGTTTAATGCATCCTAGTGCTTTGGTTCTTCAAAACGAAAAAATGAATGTGATGCTAGTGATTAAAAATTAACTATTCTTAAAGATTTGGTCACCTGCATTACATCAAAATATGAAATAAATGATGAGATGCTGGGTTTTTATTAAGTTTTGATTAGTATACAAAATAATGGATTTCATGATGGATATGTGTCATCTTTTGGTTTTTGTCTCCGTGTCTACTGTTCTCTCTTACTGGTGCCCTCCCTCCCCAAATAGTTCCCTCCCTTTTGCTTTATGTCACATGTATCCCAGTAGCCCCCCTTCCCTTCCTACTCTCTTACAGTCCGTCCCCCTCTCCCATGGCTTCGCGTCTGGTTTCATGACCAGAATGTCAAGTTTTGTTCACAGTTACTCAGTGTGTACATATTGCCTGGTTAGAGTTACACTAGTTTGTGAGTTTTCCCTGAATTACAACCTGAGTAGTGTCATAAATATTGGGAGGGGTTTTTTTTTTGTTTGTTTGAACTGTAATTTTATGCATGCTGTTAAGATTTTGAATTGTCTTTTAAAAGCGTATGATTTAGGAAGATGGACTGAACAGTACTGTGCCCGTTCTGACCTGTCTGTATTCTGTGTGTTTGCTTGAAGCTGTGCTTGAGGAACTCGTGAGCACTGGCCGCTTACGAGGCACTGTGGTTGGTGGGCGACAGGACAAAGCAGTGTTTGTCCCTGACATCTATTCCAGGACCCAGAGTACTTGGGTGGATTCCTTTTTCAGGCAGAATGGCTATCTAGGTAACTATTTTTTCTTTTCTTTGAAACTAAAATTTCTTCCTAACACTGAAATATTATTAGAAAGTATTGTACTCCAAACTCTACATGCATTTTCCTGTGGTTGACTAGATTGTCATGGTTCCCTTTAACTGCAAAAGTTGTCACTTTCCATTCTGTGGGACTTAGGAACTGAAGATAATTCCATCATTACTGAAATACTGAAATTTTAAAATACCAAAAGATATTGATAGTTATTAACCTTCAGTATGAATAAAGGTGACATTAGATTTAAGTTTTTAATCCCCCAAAGTAAATATCATATGTTTAATATAGTGTGCCTATTGTTTTATTAAGTTATTCCTTCTCAGCTACTTCATCTTAGACACATTTATTGACTGATTTGCAGTGCTTACTTTTATCAGCTATCTACTACTCAGAAACAACAGTAGTATTCTAAAATGTATTTCCAAATTGTGCCATGATTTCAGTAAAGTAGACGGATTGTTTTAAAGCAGTGGCCACTTCATCTTTGATGCATACAGTCCTGATCAAGCTGCATAGCATTGTATATTCCCATGTTTATGAAGAATGGTTTCAACAGACCATTAGGTACAGGACTTTGCTTGATCTCTGATGATGTGTGTTAAACTTGAAACAGGTTAGAACTTAGTCTTCTTAATAACTAACACCTTCAATACTGGTAACATCTGTAACTCGGAGTCTGTTATGCTAAATCATCTACTTTAGAGAATGGCTCTGTCCTGTTGTATAGTGACACATTTTGAAAAATAAAATTCATCCCTTTAACTAAAATAAGCAAACTAGATTCCAGTTTTGATTTTTAATTTGGACCATTTCCATTTCCTTTACTGCTGTTTTCCACTGCTTTGCTCAGCACTCCTGTCAACCCTTCAGCTGGAGAAGGGGCCACACAACTTGTGTTCACGGAGCACTGGAAGCAGGTTTCCTACAGAGACCTTTAGTAATAGACATCCAGAGAACAAGTTATACTATGTTTCTGTTATTCCTAAGAAAATGCTGGAGTACATTACATCCACAATCAAAAATGGGTTTGTGTATAACTTAACTTTTTGTGAGGCTTCTGGAAGATGTGAGTGATTGACAGTTCTATTCAACTTCCTTGTGTATTTCTAGAATTTGATGCTTTATCCAGACTTGGAATCCCAGATGCTGTGAACTATATAAAGAAAAGGTATAAGAATACCCCACTCTTGTTTTTGAAGGCGACTTGTGTTGGCCAAGGACTCGTGGACCAAGTAGAAGCATCAGTAGAGGAAGCCATCAGCTCAGGGACATGGGTTGACATTTTGGTATGCTTAACCTTTTTCTCTTATTAATGTTTGTTTAAACCAATAAATGATGTTTTACTAGGATGTGCACATTTTAGAAATAGGCCATGTAAAGATAGTCTTGCCTCTAGTAGTCATTGTAACAATATAAATTTTTATTATTTTAGGTTGATGTTTTTAGTGTACATAACCAAATCTAAAATTCTGTAAATTTCAAAAACAAACAAGAAAATAATATAGCAACCATATTGATCCTGATAATGGAATTGATGAGACTTTGCACATCTGTCTGAATTTTCTTTCCAGTTGTTGTGACAGATACCCTGATAAAACCAACATCATGGTGAACAGACTTGTTTTAGCTTACAGTTCCAAGTTGCTAGTCTATCATTAGGGGAAGTCACAGGAGCAGAATTGTGAAGCAGCTAGCCATGGTACATAGTACACAGTCAAGGGTAGAGAACAAACTGAGGCATGCATGCTTGCTAGTGCTTGATTTCCTTCCTTTTCTTTCAATCCAAGACCTAAATCCAGGGAATGGTGCCTAACTCTTAGACTGAGTCTTCCCTACAAATTAACAGAGTCAAGGCAGTCCTTCACAGACATGCCCACAGGCCAACCTGATCTAGATTGTCCCTAACAAAACTCCCTTTCTAGGTGATTCTATAGTGTGTCTAGTTACTAGTTGAAAGTAACCACTATGACATCTTATCTAAGCATGTACAACTGCCCTGGCCTCAGACGTCCTCTTGCATGCTTATTCCCTCTCCAGTAATCTCTGACAATGTGTTAGTATACAGTACCATCGTTGTTCAAGCGTCACTTGAACTGCTCTTCATTATTCCAAAGAGACACTTGAATGTGGGTAAAGGTAAGCTGGAGGCCAGTCTGTTGTTTCTAGTCAGAGTACAGAAATTGTTTATAATGTAGGAAGACTCCTGCTGTGGTTACCAAATTTAAAAAGGCATCTTTATCGTTACTGTGGGTTTTAGACAGTTTCTGTGTGATAACCACCATATACTATAAAAATGGTAGACAAACAAATGTCTTCTCCTAGGACAGGCAGTAAATAGGAGGAGATATGTAAAATAGTAATTCAAAATAATAATTTGAATGATAGAGCTGAAAGGAAACTTTGTCCAGGTAAAGTTATCAGGATCTCCTGGTGAATTGTTTGTAGGTCTGTAAGAGAAGAAGAGGGGCCTCGTGGGTTCTGGTGATGGGTACCAGACTTGACATTTGTATAGGGTGTGCAACTGGAGAAATTGGGTTAAATTAAAAATGGCATAAGACTCTAGAGTGCCAAGTGCTGATGGGCCCAGAAAAGGGTTTTGAAAGTTATGATGATGACTGCCTCTGAAAGCCACTGGCTTCAATGAAATTACCTGAGGGAAGTTATACTTATAACTGTATCTACTCACATATATGTATATTACATGTACAAAGCAGATAACCCGTGGTTCCCCGCATTCCTCTCATTTTCATTTTTCTGTGGTTTTAGCCTCTGCTACCTAGTTCCTTGTCAGTTGAAGATGCTGCTATGCTGCTTCAGCAGGTGATGAGACCGTTCGGCAAGCACGCTTCAGCTACAGTCTTCAGTGACACGGTTGTGGTCAGTGAAAAGTTCATAAATGACTGCATAGGACTGTTCAGTGAACGGATGCACCAAAAAGCTGAAAAGGTATTCCAGATTTTCTTCCACCTGCTAATTCTAACAGGGTTTTCTTACTGTTAGGATCATATGATGGCTTTTGGGAAATTGCATAAACAGTCTGATCACCGAGAAATATATCATTTTATATAATTCTTTTTTATCTCCTCTAGGATTTATTATTCTTTTTCTTCATCTTCATTAGATCCTGTTAAAAATTAGAGAACTAATTTTACAAATTAAAATATTATCAGTAGAATTACCTAGTTTTCAAATTAATTTACCAGAGGCTTCGGTCCACTGTTAAAACACTGAAGTATATAATAGAGTTACCTATATACAAACTTATTTTGTGCTCAGAGATCAAAGAAAGAAAAGCAATTTCTTTGTCCGTATTTTTAGTACAAGCATGTATAGTACCACAGACAGTCACTAAATCTAGCATAGTCTCATTAATTTTACCTCATTAGAATAAACAGGGTAACTCAGCGAGAAAAGAAATGTTATTATCAAAGTTTACCTATTTTTGAAGCATGATGGTGCATTTCGATAATTCCAGCCCTCAGGAGCTACAGGCAGTGAGCACAAGTTTGAGTCTATGTAGGCTCAGGGTCTGCCCTGGACTATATATATTGTAAGAGTCTGTCTTAAACAATCTTAAAATGATGGGTTTTTTTTAAAAAAAAAAATATTTGTTTTTATCCTTGTGTGACCATGTATGTATGCCCTCGGAGCTCAGAAGAGACTGTTGGATCCTGAAGTTTAAGTTACAGGCAGCTTGTGAGGTGCCGAGTGGGTGCTGGACCCACACCTGGGTCCTCTGCAGAGGCAGATGTTGCTCTTCATCACTGAACTATCTCTCAGACCCCTGAACAATTTTGTTTTTTAAACTTTTACTTTTTAACTACTATCCAAATGTATTTTGAAGCAGAGTGCTTCCTAGGACTCTCTTCATGGCTATACAATTCATGGTTGTAGTTAAAGCCATGATCTTTGTATAAAGCCTCTCCTTGGATAAAACAAGCTGTACATCTTAATATACTGTTACTGAACTCATGCAGACCTATTAAATGTATAAATCATTTGTGTTGAGCTCTACTCTTTTAAACTTGACTAGTGCGAGTATGAGATAGTTTTCTGCAATTACCCTGTTAGGCAGGTAAGAATGAATATATATAGCTCTGACATTAGTAAGCGTTAAGTTGAAATATGTTTATTCTGTGTTTGGACAGGTAGATTTCTTTATTGCTTATTTAAAAAAATGATACTCTGGAAAGGATATATGTAAATACAGTCTGGAAGTGTGTGTGTGTGTGTGTGTGTGTGTGTGTGTGTGTGTGTGTGTATTTCTGTCTGTGTGTCAGCAATTAGATCTTTCTATGAACACTTGTTTTAACTAGAAAAAAATGAACTTAAAGAAAGGTAATCCTTATCACTGGAATCCTCATTATTAAGCATTTTCCTTAGGAAACCAAAAAGAAAATGATAGTATCTTTACTGTGAAAATATTTCTTTTGTCACTAGAAATTAAAGAACTATTTCTCATTAAAAAAAAAACCTGATTTCTGAAGCTGGAAATAGTTCATTGTTGTTTTTGTTAACATAAAATTTAAACAGTTGAGATTATCAAGAACTAAATCATAGGAAAAACAGATTTATTTGGATTGGTCTGCAACCTGTAATGGTGAGGACCGTAGCAGTTTCCATGCCTTTCTTGTCATTTCAAGTATCCAGGTGGCATTGTATTCAAGAGTCTCAGAAACTAAAAGAAAAGGGGGAGTTGGGGAGAAGATCTTACCATCTTTAGCAATGAAACCTAGCAAGTGTAGTTAGGATGTGTAAGTAAATAAGCAACTTCTTGACTGTTTGAAATGTTACATATATTTTGCCTACCAAAAACCCTATGTTTTATTTCAGGAAATGAAAAATAATCCTGTGCATTTAATTACTGAAGAAGATCTGAAACAAATTTCCATTTTAGAAAGTGCTAATGCAAATAAAAAGGATAAAAAAGATGAGCGCAGGAAGAAAGCAACAGGTAATAAGTCATTGATAAGACACAAAGATGAGCGGTGTGTAACTGTGTGGGTTACATTAGCACACTTCTATTCTTGTGTATCAGGTAGCGCCTTCTGAAATGTACAAACCTGAAGTAAAGCAGTGCTGGACCTGCACCACAGACACAGTCTAGGAACAGACAGTGGGGGACTGGCACAGATTAGATACACGGACCTGTGTGTGGAATAAAAATCAACCCAAGTAGATACAGCTGTCACATCCAGACAAAGGGGCTGAAAACATACATTGGAAAAAATGATGCTTTTTTTAGCAAGTGCTGCTGGGAAAATTGAGTTTTATTTTTTTGCATGAACTTTGGACTAAGGCCATTTGAAGGTTTTATTTAATAGATTGATTTTTTTATTTTAATGGCTAAACTGAACCAAATCTTGCTACTAAATTAGATTTTAGGATTTTGTTTAATTTTTAATTTATGTGTATGGATGTTTTCCTCTATGTATGTCTGTGCACCACATGTATACCTAGTGCCTGAGGAGGCCAGAAGAGGGCAGGAAATGTAACAGACGGTTGTGAGCTGCCATGTGGGTTCTGGGAATTGACCATGAATTCTCTGTAAGAGTAAACAGTGTACTCTTAACCACTGAGCCACCTCTTCAGCCCCTACTGAATTAGATTTTAATCAAGAAAATGGAAATGACACAGTGTATTCTGTGTTTGTATGTATTCAGGAAAAGATACAAAGCCTTTTTTGTAACTCTCTGTCTTTTCTGTTTTCCCTTCTGTAGTCTCATAATTGCCAGGTTCGTATTCACTTCAAGGCCTCTGCACTAATGGGGCTGCTTAACTTTATTGTTTCTTTTAAACTGAAAGAAACTGGATTCTTCTTTCATTTTAAGTTCCACACCAAATGTCACTTCCTTGGGTGCCTTTCTTTTTCTTTTTAAAAAGAAGTATTTATTTATTTATTTTGCTTATACAAGTACATTTTACCTGTCTTCAGACACACCAGAAGAGGGCATCTGATCCCATTTCATATGATTGTGAGCCACCATGTGGTTGCTGGGAATTGAACTCAGGACTTTTGGAAGAACAATCAGTGTTCCTAACTGCTGAGCCATCTCTCCAGCCCCTTGGGTGCCTTTCTAATACCTCACAATAGAGACCATACTATCTTGTACTATCTTTTCAATTTGGGATGATATATTGGTGTGTTATATTGTTTGGAAACAATCCCTGTGGTTATATCCCTAGTATCTAAAGCACCACTTGGCATAATTTAAGGTTTTTTACACAAGCAGATCTTCCTGCTAACATTATGTTATAACCTCTTTTAAATTTATACTCAGTGGTAATCATTCTATGTAGTACTTTTATTTAGTAACTTACCATTGAGATGTATGTGTATTTTCCCTGTTTTTACTAGTAGAAACAAATTATTGGTGCTATATCAGTGCCAAAAACTTTGATATTCAGCCTTTACATTAATAAACGTATCTGTATCAAACACATATGCTTAAAACATAATTTTTGCAATGAAAATTCATTCCTGTTTTATTACTTAAGAATGTTCCTCTTGTAAAACCTTTTTCTTCTTGCAAGACTCTTGAAATATTTTTAATATTTTCTCCATTCTTCTATAAGAGCCACAATAAGTTATTCCAGTGACTCCTGACCTCATAAATACACTTATTCTGCTGCGTTATTTCCAGTGACTCCTGATCCTCATACATACACTTACTTATTCTGCCGCATTATTTCCAGTAGTATTTAGAAATACACGAGAGTTGATTAATGACTTAAGTCAGTATAGTTGATATATTTCTTTCTCAGAGTTATAGGTCATCTGGTACTTTGTTCTGAGTAACTACAGTTGTATGGCAGTAATTAACTATAGTGTATGATATCATGTCCAACTCAAATGCTTCCCATAAAAAACTTACCACCAACTATTAAAGATACATTTCAATTTAGGTGTGTGGTTTTATTTATATATTTATTTTTGTCTTTATAAAGTCAAGGAAAATAAATTATAAAATATGATGAAATCTAAGATAATTGTGATTAAATGCTAGAAAAGTATAGTTTATAAAAATCACCTTATTTTACTCAATAATCCTTATGATGAAAACTAACACTTATAACCCTTTGTAAGATGAGTATTCCGTTTTATAGACAAGAGATCCTAAATGTAGACATCTACAGGCAGAAAACTACCTCAGTAATGTGGCTTCATACTCACACATAGTATGTGAGCTTCTCTAATGATTTGTATTGAACTCTTTAGTAAGTAATTGAAAATAATTAGATGATTGATATATTAATAAAGTAATTGATGATGTTAGTTTTCTGCTACCAATTTAATATCCACTGACATTTGTTAGTTCCTGTTACTTTTTAATCATTTCATATTTCAAACTCAAAATTTAAGTGAGTGATGGGTCAATCTGACTCCTTCAAACATGAGTGGCAATCAGTCTTTTAGCCAAGAAGGCAAAACCACTGTGAAATGTCATAGTAATGAGGATTAAATAATGCTGTGAGGGCAGACATGAATAAATGAAATAATGATTGAGGGGACAGTGGCTAAAGGGAGTAGCTGCTCTTCCAGAGGACCCTGGTTTAAGTAGCAGCACCTATATGGTAGCTACCAGCCATCTGTAACTTCAGTTCCTGAGGATCTAAAGCCCTCTCTGGCCTTAATGGGCACTGCATGTATGTGGTACAAAATCACGTGGAAACAAAATACTTATAATTTAAAAATACTCATAATTTTTTTTAAAAAGGAGAAAGAAAAGAGAAAGGAATGGATTTGGCTAAAAAGATAAGCTTCAGAAAACAGGTAACAAAGCACTGGTGGCATATGCCTTTAATCCCAGCACTTGGGAGACAGAGGCAGGCGGATTTCTGAGTTCGAGGCCAGCCTGGTCTACAGAGTGAGTTCCAGGACAGCCAGGGCTACACAGAGAAACCCTGTCTCGAAAAAAAAAAAATCATTTAGAAAACAGGTAGCCTTCCTTGAGTATATTATAGTTTGAAACAGTTTCAGGAGATTGCTTAAATTCAAGAGATTCCTATTTTTAGTGATAAAATTTCTTTATTATTGTTACTGTCCTTAGTACCATAATATGGAAACTGATCTTTAAAAGAATTTAAATTTTTCTTTAGTTTATTTTTCATTTTTCTGTTATATAGTTTAACATAGCAATATAGTATCGTCATTTTCCAAAACGTGTTAATAATACTAACTGATGTATTTCTACCAGAGGGCTCTGGAAGTGTAAGAGGAGGAGGAGGGAGCAATGCCAGAGAATACAAGATTAAGAAAGTCAAGAAGAAGGGAAGAAAAGACGAGGACAGTGATGAGGAGTCTCAGTCATCGCATGCTGGTGTGTAGCTTCGAGTTCACTATTTACTTGTATGTAGATGCATTTCTTAACATTTTTCTTAAGATGAATATAGTTAGCTCCATACATTTGTAAAGAATTTATTTTGCGTTTTTAGTGACCACAAATTTTACAGATTAATAATATAAACCTGTATAGGATTTCAAGCCAGAAATTATCACATAAACAGAAGGGAGCTATTATGATCTTTAACAGTCAAGTCTCTCATTCTAAGGTTTGTTAATATATATAATATTTCTTCATGTTAAAAACAACATGGCCTGTAGTTAACTGCCTCTCATCTCCCAGTGATAAACCCGTGTGACAGTTTACAAAATTGGACAGTTAAGAGACAAAAACAACTGGAAAGTAGTAACATTGGCAATAAAATTACCATCAAGCCATGCATGGGGCCACACAGTTGTAATCTCACCACATACAAAGTAGAGGCAGAAGAATCAGTTCAAGGCCAGCCTTGAGTTGGAGGTCTTACTAGGCTACATGAGACCCTGTCTCCAGACTAAATCAAAATTAAAATCAAGCTTAATGCTGGAGGAGTGTCTGGAAAAGCTGACTCAACCTCCTCGAGATTAGCTGCAAATGGAGGAACTTAGTATTAGCTCATTTACTGATACAGTTTTAACAAAAGGGGTGAAAATGTTTTAGAAGATGTGAAATAGGGGAAAAAAAACAAAACAAACAAAAAACTAACTACAAAAGATCAGGGGGTCTTTGTGACTACCAGGAATGGCAGAGTGTTGATTCACATGAGGCAAGAAGGAAATCTGGTTCATCATTCCTCAACAGGCAGCATTGGTTCAGACGTCTAGAGCCTGACACAGGTAGTTTGTTGAGGACACATTTAAGTACGGTATAAATTTAGCAGAAGTTTCTTGGTCTATCACAATCGTCAGTGAACAAAGAGGCTTACTTATATCAATACTCTTCTCTACGTACATGTCACTTCTTGCATGCATATGGGTTCTAGAGATAAGCTGCATGTATTATCTTAAGGGTATAGGAAGGGTCTCGTATGGTTTTCATCACAGACATTATAGAGGTCATCTGTGCTATTGGCCTTGTCCAGTCCTGGTAGGAATTTGGGGAGTCCCTGGCCATTACACATAACACAGTGGTCACCTAGATTATTAGCTACATCTGGTCCTGAATGTGGGAGCTTGGTATGCCCTAGTCCTTGATCACCTCAGGCTGTCAGCCACCTCCATTCCCCATCTTCCAGGCAGAAAACAGTTGTATATTTTTTCCTCTGAAACAACAGCCCTGCATGTTTAACATTCCTGGTTTCCCTGGTGCTATTGGTGAGCGTAAAGGCCTTTATACTCCTAACATCTTTTTACTGTGAAAGAACTCTAGGAGATGACTGAAGACACTGAGATGTTGGAAGCTGAGGCGGAGCATCATGTGCTTGTTTGAACTGTGACAATATGTGGCTGGCTTGTTACATACATCTAAGATGAGTTCATTAATTGCCTTATCTTCTAGTTCCTAGGCTTCTTAATGTTTGCCAAGGTTAACAGTACAAAAGACATCATATTTTGCTTTTCTAAATACTTCTTTTTTCATTTTTAAGAAAGAATCATGAAACATAATGCTACTTCCTCATGTATCCCCAGCAACAGTTAAACACATACACACACACAAATGAAGACAATATGCTACTATTGGCAACATCACAATGCTTAGGCTTTCCTTAAAATATTCTAAGAAAGACTGAAAAAACACTATGTCAATGTGCAGAAAATAATGGTAACGAGGTTAACTGTTTATTCTGTCTCCCCTTAGTCTAGGCAGCATTGATATGGCTTTATGTGTGTGTGTGTGTGTTTGTGTGTGTGTCATTTCTCACTGTGTGCTTATTTATGAATTCCCAAGATCTAGTTGGGACAAGGATAAAGAGAAAATTTTTAAAAAGTTATTCTCTAACACCTGTAATCCTAGAGAAATGAGGCATTGTTTTGTGCATAGATTATTGAGGCACTATAACAGCGGTAAAACCATTCTACCTTAAAAGTAATTTCAGTGTTTGAAAAGGGTTATGTTGTAATCTCTGAAATGGAGGGTGAAATTAGGTTCTCAACTAAAATACGGAATCAAGTCAGTATGACAGATTACTGGGTGAAATGTAATTTAACAACCTGCAAAAGGCTTACGGGAAGCAAACAGGAAAAGATTATTTAGTGTGAACATCATGGTTGGAGAAGAGATCTCAGAAGAGAATAGAACTTTGGGTGTCTACCTTGAAGCTTTGATTTCAAGTGCTTAGATCCTCATGAAAACTAAAAATTGACTTTTGAGCCATTTTATTGCTAAGGTTTCAGTTGTAGAATCAATAATCTGATTTAGCTAAAAATAATCAGTTGTATAAAAGGTATAGCTTTATCATTTATAATGGAAATATTGTTTGCTTTCTTTGCAAGGAATACTTTTCAAGTAAGTGGTTAGGCATGACATTTCTACAACTAACAACATTCCCATTACAGTAGCTGCATACTAACTTTATTGTTCATTAGTATAGAATTGTCTTTGAGAAAGCAAACATAAATTATAAGGGTTTTTCCTTTTCATTTGTATTTTTCCAAAAGGATAAATTTTAACTTAATCCTGTCTCTTTCTGAAGCTCTCATGTAAATTCAAAGGCTGTTGACTTCAGTAAGTACTCAGTTTTGTGAAGAAGGAATTTCTCCTCAGTATCTGTTGTTGAATGAGGAGAAATCACAGTTTTCTGAAAGTTGATAACCTACTTGATTGCTCTGATGTCTAGCTATTTGCATTTTCCAAGTTAGATGGGAGGAAAGAGTTATCCTTGTCTTCTGGCTGTCAAAAAAAACCCCAAAAACAACAATAACAACAACAACAACAACACCAAAACCAGTCATTTATAAGGGAAGTTAAACCATGGTCACCTAAGAGAAATTCTACTCTATGAAGTTGTAAATTTTAACTTTACTAGGTGTTTTTGTTTAGAAGTAGCAGTTTTGTTGACATAAGAATGTGTTGCTGCCTGGTAAGGTGTGTATTCCCTGCCTGGTCTTTCTACTGGGGTGTGTTTATTTTCCCGTTGCTGATATATGTTACAGGAAAGAAGAAGCCGGATATCACCTTCATGTTCCAGGATGAAATTGAAGATTGCTTAAGGAAACACATTCAGGATGCCCCTGAAGAGTTTATTTCAGAACTTGCAGAATACTTAATAAGGCAAGTATAAATTATACCTCTTCCATTTCTGACAGCATGTAATTTTCACTAAGATTCTCAAAAACAGGTTTTAGGCTTTTTTTTTTTCCAACCGTTTGGATTTAATTTAAACATGAAATTCCAAATTAATTTTCCATCAGAGACAGTTCCATTCTGCCTTTATTTAGTAAATGCTCTTGACAGAATGGACAATGGAAACAGCCCCTCTGAAGTGCTCACTGGCGTTGCAGTCTTGGGTCTTATTTGGGACTAACTCATCCTTTACGTAGCATGAAAAACAGCACCTAAAATGAGAAGGTGAGCTTCTATTTTGATTTGGCAAAAAGTAAACAAAGGTTACTATTAGTCACTGTAGAGGGAACAATTGACCGCAAAAACAGTAAGTGTAGAAACTAACACTTTACATGAAAAATTAAAATTAGCCTCTATTAACCATTCCTGGTCATCCCTCAAGTTAGACCCAGCACATAAGTCTCATAGAGGTAATCCAAGACCTCAGCGATTCTAAACTTTTATTTTGGAGTAGAACTTTTATAGTGAGTTTTTTTTAATATAAGTAATTTTTATGCATAAAAGTATTACAGAGCCATAGTCTATAAAAAATAGAAAATAAGTACTATTAGCTGTACACCATTGTTTTTAAATAATCTGTTGTGGAGCATGTAGATGTTTTTAAAAATATATTATGTTAATAGTACTTTAGAAATTGAGAATTTTTCTGTGGTAATTTCTGAGAATAAGGAACAAACTTACATTCTGTTATTTTCCAAATTAATTTTGGAGGTCTGTTTCATGGAGTATTTGTTACTATCATTCTTGTCATCTATACTGTAATTACTTTGAATGCTTTAAAATTGTGCAAATTTTTAAAATTATTCTTGGAACCTCTCAAGTTAATTTTAACTGTTAAAAAGATGAAGGGTTTTTAAATTGTTATTCATTATAAACAAAATATCTTACTGAATTTAAGTGCACATTTTAATTAACCATATTTATCTTGTCCCAGGCCTCTTAATAAAATGTATCTTGAGGTAGTACGTTCAGTCTTCATGTCTTCAACGTCTGCTTCTGGAACTGGCAGAAAACGTACAATCAAAGACTTACAGGAAGAGGTTTCAAACCTATACAATAATATCAGATTATTTGAAAAGGGGATGAAATATTTTGCAGGTATATTTAACAGTGTCTTTTTCATTGATCCTTGACTTCTGTGAGGAAATCAGTTGTAATAAAGTGTCCTTTTTTTTTTTTTCAGATGACACACAGACTGCTCTTACCAAGCACTTGCTGAAGACAGTGTGTACTGATATCACTAACCTCATGTTCAACTTCCTAGCCTCAGATTTAATGATGGCGGTGGAGGACCCTGCAGCCATTACAAGTGATGTATGTTAGTGAATTGCCTGCTGCTTGATGTCAATGAAGTCTAAGCATGCTTTTATTTTCTCCCATTTTAACAAGTTTAAAGGAAAAATAAAATAACAGTTTTTATATAGAAAAACTACTAAAGAATTTAAGTAATTGTATAATGCTTATATAATTCTACAAGGATTGATAATATGACCAAACTACTTAAAGAAGTTCAATTACTTTATAAAAAATAAGTCTTTTTCTAACGGTTTCTATCAGTCTTCTCCCCTTTCTTGTTGATTTATAACTTCGTTAATAATTAGTTCATTTTTTTAAGCTCACAGTCATTTTCTTTTGAAAGCAATGTACCACGTAAATATTGAGACAAACACTTAAGTTTATATGTTTAAAACTGTGATCTTAAACTAGAGCCCAAGACCATCACTTCTGCATTTGTCATGTGAGGTAGAGCCATGGCTCAGTTACCTATAGGTAGAACTGTTTGGTCTGTTCCTATGGTGATAATGACCATTCCTCCACCTCTTTCTCTTCCTTTTCATCCTTCTGGGACCATCTTACAGTTAGAGATTCAGGAAAGCTATGTGAGAAAGTCTTCATGTGGCTGACTGCATTGATAACTGACTTTGAATGTGGTGAAACCACATCCAACTAATGGATGTAACTATGTAACTATGGTTTATTGTAACCGTATGGTTTGCTGGTCCGCTGTAACTATGGTTAGTTGCCACAGAGGTAGCATGATTTTTCTTGGTATGTTTTAATTTTAGGTAACTCCCTTATATAATAAGATCTGTCCTCAAATCTCAGACAGACATACATTATTTACCCACTACTGCTACTTGGAAGATATTGGAGTCTTCCTCTTTTATTTTAAGCAACAATCTCCAACACTCTGGAATGTTACATGTCTCCTCTCTCTTTACCAACTTTCACTCTAAAAACTACACCTTTTGCATTCTTGCTCCTTGGCCTTACAAAAAACTAAGAGATGATGGAACAAGGAAGCTCTAAATAGCCTGTGTCTTCACAGACACAGTATGCCCCTCAGGTCGTTCTTCCTGAAATATATCAGAGAGAATGAACTGTCTGGTTTACAATACCCTAAATTTCAGAGTATCCACATCTGTGAAAGATGATAAAAGCTTCCTTGTACTACTGTACACGTACTATTCAGGCATCTAGCCACAGAACTAGATCTACTGCCCTTTCTACAGGCATCCCTTCTATGTGAGAGCCATGCGGCTGTGTAGCACTCTTCAGGAGACACTGAAAGGCAAAGCCACGGTGTGTTTACCCACGTTCTCTGTTTCCACATGGCCTGTCAGTAGTCTTCTAACAGAGGCTGTGAAGATGAGCTCTGTGATTCTGTAGTAGTTTAACATATTTATTTCTGGTTTGACACCTAACATTAAAAACCCCAACTATATTACATCTAGTATTCTATTGTACTACTGAATTGATGGGTATTTTTGATTGTTTGATCTTATATCTAGCATATATCAAAAACACAATGCCAAAAGAATTTTTTCCCTTACAGATAAGAAAAAAAATTTTAAGTAAATTGACAGAAGAAACCAAAGTACCTCTCACAAAACTCCACAACTCTCTGAATGAAAAAGTAAGTCAGTGCTCACTGGTGACTACAGTTAGCACTTTGTGTATAAGGCTCCTTACAAACATCCCAATCAAAATCATTACAAGCTAAATCTAAAACCAGTCCTCTGTGTGCATGCACCTTTTGGGAAGGGGGAGGGAAGAGGGAGATGGGAGCATTTAATATTTTCAGTGCTAAATCACAGTTTCTATTTGCCAAATGACCTGTTAAAATTTGTGTTTAGGATGTAAAATTACAAAACAATATTAAATTTCTACAAAAGTAAATTATGGAATTACATGTCTTTAGAGCATAGAAGACTTCCTATCTTGTCTGGATTCTGCAACAGAAGCCTGTGACATTATGGTGAAAAAGGGAGACAAGAAAAGGGAAAGGTAACATTGATTCTGTTGTTGCTACTCCTAAACCTGAGCTTGTTCACAGGTGAGATGTGAGAATGGCTGTGTGAGCATTTAGAGAGAGTCACAGGCCTCAAGTCTACTCATGCCTCCAACCCTGGGACGTTTTATTAGGTTGGAGACCTTCATTATACTTTGTTTGATCCCAGCAACCTAAGAACAAAAGTACCTGTTGAGTTTATTGCTGCATAGCTCTCTCTGTAATGTTAGTCTACCTATGCCAACTAAAGTTTAAGTAGATGTAATCATATCACCCATATTTAAAGAACTCCTTAAAATGCTGTGTAATCAAGTCATTAAACTAGATAAGGTGAAAAATGAATGCTAAAGGGAAAATATTTAAATGATGAGACCTCGCTAAATATGTATTTCTGTGATTTGGGTTTTGCAGGCAAATCCTATTCCAGCATCGACAGGCTCTGGCTGACCAGCTGAAGGTTACAGAAGACCCAGCTCTGATTTTACACCTCACATCAGTCCTGTTATTTCAGTTCTCAACCCACAGCATGCTCCATGCACCTGGAAGATGTGTCCCACAGATCATCGCTTTTCTTCACCACAAAATCCCAGAGGTATTACAGCCTTTTTTTTTATTTTAATTTTTTTAAATCTTCATTCATGATGAAAACTCCTCTCATTTTAAAGGTTAATTTTTCAGGAAAGATACAGGAATCTCTAAACTTATGTCTCAGTTTCCCTAGTTTTGATTTAGCTCTCAAGGACCACTTCAAAAGTCTTGTCCATTTCATCTAAGGAATCCAACACCTGGCCAACAGCAGCTTGGCTTCTTTCATTCTTATTATTTTGTGTCTTAGGTCATAGAACCTGGCTAAATCAGACTCCTATGACATGGTCTGCACAGGTCTTATACCTCCTGATCTGCACTCTGAGAACACAGCCCTTCCTTGCCAGATTCAGCTTTCCACTAACATGGCTGTTGTTTCATGAAGATAAGGCCCTTCAGTTTGTGCTGTTCAAACAAATTCTGCTTTCACTGTTCACAGAAAATCAGATGTGCTTGGTACAGTTTCTTCTTTCTTTTCACAGGATCAACATACTCTCTTGGTAAAATATCAAGGATTGGTTGTGAAGCAGTTAGTCAGTCAAAATAAGAAGAGTGGACAGGGAGAGGATCCATCAAGCGATGAATTAGATAAGGAGCAGCATGATGTCAGCAATACTACTCGGAAAGAGCTTCAGGAACTGTCATTATCCATTAAGGACCTTGTTCTCAAGTCCAGGAAGTCATCTGTGACAGAGGAATAATGCCCCTGATTTACTTTTGTTACATAATATTTTCCACAAAGTAGATGAGTGATCACAGAATTAGTCACTCAGCACACCCAACTCTCCCCTGTCAACCCTCCCCACAAAACTCAAATAAAATAGTGGTATTGTAATATGTGCAAATCTTATGGAAAACTTTGCTGTTAAGTTCTCCATGAAACATTTTCTTTTCACATAATCCTGTGTATAATTTTTTATGTAATAAAAGTTCTTCAAATAGTTCTGAATCTAGAACATGTTATATGCTTTAATATTCTTCCAGATGTTAAAATGAAGAATAAACTAGAATATCTTTTATCTCTAGGAAAGAAGTTGTTTGCTATTTAATTTATTTGGTATATTTTTTACAAGTAAAACTGTTTATATGCCTGAAATAAAAATGAATCATTTTCACTTTTAGAATTACAGAGAATGCTGCAGAAGTAGAGATTGTCAGATATATTTTGTCTTACTAAGCTCTGGCTCTTGCTTTTGACAAATAGAAGTCCCCCTGCGTGAATGTCTCCAGAGGCCACAGAAGTGGTGTAACAAATGAGAACACTGAACAAGCATGCATTTCTGTGTTCCTATAAAGCAAGCCACAGGGCACAGTGAGAGAAAGCATGAGGTACCCTGCAAGACAGTGCAAAGCATGTGTGTACTTGAGTGGCTAAAAGAACAGGTGTTTCTGTCATTAGCCCAGTTTAGAGATCTAAGGTTTGGTTGTTTGAATTTGGTGACTGCCTTTATCCTCAGTTCATTGTTGGAACCTGTATAACAGGTAGCTAGGCTGTTCTGATGAACACAGAATCTGTGTATATTTAAACTGTGCAGAAGTTTTATTCCAAAAGTAGACATGTTTAAAAATTGAATTTTTGTTTTCTGTGATTATTAGGTAAGATGTACTAAACAGTTCCTTGGAAAAATAATTTAAACCAAGTTGTAAGCAACATCCTATTGTCAATGTTTAAGGAATGCTATTTTATATAATGTCAATGAAATTTTTATATTTAAAATGTTTAAATACATAAGACTACCTCTTTTCTGAAATGATGAAGTATTAATACTACATAGAAGTAATTACTAACTAAGCATTTTGTTAAAGTTGATGATAAAACATTAGGGGGCTGGAGAGGTGACTCACTGGTCGCAGGTGCCTCCCAGCACCACGTGGATATTTGGTATCTCCAGTCCCAGGAAAGCCAATGCTTTCTGCATACACAGGATGTGCAGGCACACATGCAGGCAAAACACCCATACACATAAAAGAAATAATAGAAATGATTTCATATGAGACATTTTTATTGTATATTTTCATATAAGCAAAAAAAGTAATAAATTCTCTGTGACTCCAAAATCACTTTATTTTCTTATTCAGCTTCCAAATTAGTATCCAACCTACTCAACATTTTAATAACATTGTTTCAAAAAATACAAAAGTGATCCATATTTGTTTCATACTCTGCCATTAAAATAAATACAAGAGATGATCACATAAACTCAATTAAATTTACAAAAATAAGTAAAAAAATGTAAAGCTTTGTTAATCTTACTTGCATTTATTTTATTTGTCCAAACAGTACCTATTTTTCCTTAGTAAATAAAAAATTGTTTATAAATTGTACAGCTGATTTTGTCTGTAAAGACTTTATTACTGATATTTTCTTAATGGACTGAGATAACATTACTTAAAGTTGTCTAGCCAATTAAATTTTATATGCTACACTGAAAGTAATTAAATGCAGTCTATATAATGCTTATATTTTGAATTATTCTGATTGTTAAAGGAGGTGACATTTTCTTACTACACAAAAATAATTCCTAATTTCCTTGTGGTATTTGTTGCTTGAAATTTTGCCATTTATCTTACTATATCATTTCTCAGCCAGATTTCAGCAAATATATCCTCAGGTCTATTAACTCTTGCCACTATAATAGAGATATGGAAAAACATGCCCAGGTTTTCATGTTCTGTTGTGTTCCATATTCACACCATTATCAAGGAAACCCACTCTGACCCCCTAGAACAGTGGTTCTCAACTTTTGGGTCCTGACCCCCTTTAGCAGTCAAAGGACCCTTTCGTGGGGGTTTACCAAGGCCATTGGCAAACACATATTTACATTTTAATTCATGAAAGTAGCAAAATTACAGTTATGAAGTAGCAATGAAATAATTTTATGGCTGGGGGTCACTACAACGTGAACTATATTAAAGAGTCACAGCATTAGGAAGGTTGAGAACCACTGCCCTAGAAGATAGAATCTCACTGTGCTTTGAGCAAAGAACATAATGCTATAGAATACTAATAAAAAGTGTCTGGCCATCTGTGTGGGGCCACCTCAGACATGTTAGAGAAGTGCTTTACTCAGATAATGAACGAGATCAAAGTGTACCAATGATCTCTGATGTCATCAACCGCAGGCATAAATGTTTTCTTACTGTTTTTCTATCAAAAAGCTACTTACAACAAATTGGATGAAAGGAGAGTGGAGAGGAAGCTTTGTTTTCTCTAAGTTCTATGAAGTCTTTACCTCAGTGGACCTGAGAGATAAGGTAAAAGTACACATTGAAGACTCCGGGATGGGCCGGGCGGTGGTGGCGCATGCCTTTAATCTCAGCACTTGGGAGGCAGAGGCAAGCGGATTTCTGAGTTCGAGGCCAGCCTGGTCTACAGAGTGAGTTCCAGGACAGCCAGGACTACACAGAGAAACCCTGTCTCGAAAAACCAAAAAAAATAAAAAAGACTCTGGGATGATATTCTGCAGGCATTTTGAATCACTATTATTGATGTGATTGTTATTTTTTAAAGAATATCAATTTTTAACTATTAAAAAATTAAAATAATAAAGTAGCCTTGAAAGGGTTATACATATTGTTCTACTTTTATGGACAGTTAACAAATGAGAAAGTAGATGGGAGAGTTTTATACATTCAGTAAGAACCATGACTTACAGGCGTTCACAGGCGTTCAGAGAACAGCGGCATCACACACAAAAGTCACATTTAGTTAAGTGTGTATTAAATTCCTATGTATGTATTCCTCATGTTCACAGTCTAGTGTACAATAGAGAAACCCTTTATCTGCCTCATCCAGCCAAAAGTGCAAAACTTCATCTTTTATGCTTCAATGGGAGGAAGTAAAATTGTTTTCTTTCTGAGCCTTTAGGCCTTTAACTCTGTTAGACCTCAAGGTTGGACAAGTGAAGGCATAATGTAAGGTTGGTATAGAAAATATGTATGTTTAAGCAAGATATGGTAGTGCATATCTATAACCTCATGTGGATTACCAAATCAAAGCCAGCCTTAGCTACATGGTAGATGTCTCAGACAAAACAAACACTGAGCAAATACAGTTGTTCTTGTATTTAAGAAATGTAAATGACCTTAATGCAGTAGACTTTCCATCCTTGCCACTTTCCCTGTGATTCTTGGGTTAAAAAACACTTGTATTACTTTTGTTGTTGATAGAAACGAGCAGGGGACTGTGAGGAAAGACCATTTCTTCCTAAATTTTATCACAGCGTTATTCCTAGCTACTTTAAAGATAGCATTTTATTGATTCAGAAAGTCTCAGTATATTAAGTAAAAGCCTGGAGAGATAGAAGAGTATGAAGTCATAACTTCCTGACATGTGTCCTCTGCTTCACCACTCTGATACCCTACTCTTCCCTGTCTAGTCATGAGTCACAGCTATCCACTCTGCAACAAACTCAGGCATTAAAAACAAAATAATCTTGACTGTTCTGAAAGCTCCAGGCCAAGTAAATACATTTGTCTTTTGTAGTGGGTTTTATGAGAATGTCCCATAGGCTCAGCTGTTTCAATACATGGCTCCCAGTTAGCGGTGCTTCTTGGGTAGGTTTGGGGTTTGTGTCCTAATGGAGAAGTTCTGTCAATGAGGGCAGGCTTTGATGTTTCAAGAGCTGCATGCCACTTTGCCCTCTGTTACTGGCTTGGGGCTGAGATATGAGGTCTCAGCTCGCTGCTCCCGTCACCATCCTTGCCTGCCACCATGCTTGCCTGATGTGACGGTAATGCACTCCTATGCCTTCCCTCTATAAGTTGCTTTGGACATGGTCTTTTATGATAGCAATAGAAAAATAACTAATACATATGTTTTTTCTTTAATTTTCCTTTATATTTTTGAACCTAGCAATGGGAATTCTGTATAGATTATAGTTGGTCTTTTCCTGTTTAGTATATTGTGTACCTCTGAAGCTATATTTAAAGATTTATACAAATACCTAAATATTGCCCTATGTAGTTAACATATACATACAAAATTCTACAGAAAAATGTAAATACTGAGGTTATGGCCTGTTCCTTAGAATACAAGTAATTTTAAATTCTGTTTCTTCCAGAATGTAGCCAACATACATTTTTATAACTCAGTAAGACATTTTACAGTAGACATTGCTTTTTAGTAATATAAAGAAAGGCTAGAAGGGACCCACACTGGGACAGAGGCAAGTGCTTATTGTTGATAAAGTAGTCTATGTAGTTATATTAAGTCTGTGATGAGAGGATAATGGTATGCCTAAGAGATGTCATTTAATACATCCAACAGAAGCTGTAAAAATAGAGGCGGGTGGAGAATAAGTGAGGGAACCTAAGATTTGCCATGACAGGCAGATGGCAGTGCCATGCTCTGAGAGACTAGGACCAAGAAGATTAAAGGGTTCGTTCAGGACGGCAATCACAGGGTACTTCCCTGCTACCTAGTAGAGCCTTGTCAGATGATACTAAAGATCTGCTGCTCATGACATAATTATAAAGTGTCTCATAAGGAACACTGTGCAGTGCACAGAGAAACACTGAACAAAGAATAAACTTCTAGGGAAGAGAAAACCAGAAAACAAACTTAGAGAAAGTAAGGAGGCAGGTTTCAAGAATAGGCCAGGCCAGAGGAACTTCCTATAGAATCCTCTAAAATTCTGTAAAAATCCTCTGAGAGGTTCTGGTCAACATACTTCACGATGCTAAAGATTTTCTTCTACTTTCTGGAGGAGCAGTTCAAGCGAAATATAAATGTAGGGGACAATGAAGGTTCATCTGTTAGCTATCCTTTTGAAAAGTGCATGGGTAAACCAACTTGAGGATAGGCACTGTGACATCACCAAGACTGATTCCATTCTCGTAAGTGGAAGAAAATGCCTGCTTAGCATGTAATCGATTCTATCACCAGTGAAAGGCAGATACACTTTTGCTGATCAGATTTGGTTCTTGCTAATCCTAATGTTTTGTTTTCGTGTCCCACTAGTCAAATCTAAGTGAATAAAAAAGCAGTTACTTGGCTCCGTATTTCCTGTCCCCAGTCCCCAGTTATTT